CGTGTTCGACTCGTTAAGCAAACGAGCCGAACACGAACACACCTTTTGAGCTCGAAATATAAACGAGCTGAGCATGGCTCGCTCGTGTTTCGCTCGTTTACACCCCTATATATACTACATCAACAGGTATATCTATAAATCTTGCAACACTCTGTGACAAACTACAATCTATGTGGCTCATAACTCTCACAACACCTAACTCCAATCTATGCAGCCCACGAATGTTATGACATAACAAAACTATAAACTCTGCAACTAACTGATACTCCTAAGACAATCATCTACAATTCACATGACAAACTACTATCATGACTTTCAACTACAACCTCTACGACAAACTAACACTACAACCTCTACGACAAACTAACACTACAACCACCATCTACAAACTTCAAGCTGAATTATTCCCTTCAAAGCAATCCACTACAGCATTCACATCCCATTATGACTATTATTGATAAAATACAAATTCCCATCTTCCTAAATACAAGAGAAAAATGAAGAATGAATCTTTGTATTCACAATTATATAACGGATTGCTTCAATTGAGTGGGCCCCGTTGCTTTTTCCAAATTCTAGAGTTATACAAGTAAAAGTCGATGTGTCTCCTTCTACCACTCTTTTAGTTTCTAAGTGGGCGTTGTACTTTTGCGAACAAAATAATCACTCTACAACCACAATGATGGCACGTGTTATATATATATATATATATATATATATATATATATATAGGAGGAGAGAGAGGGAGAGAAGAATTATAGCATTACATTAAGAATTCTTTGCTCATCACCTTGTTCATGCTTGAGCACAAGCTACAAATATATGATAACTTCAATGCAAACATAACAAAGTTATACTGAAATATACGAAAGTACAGAATATGAATATGGTAAATCAACTTAAAGCTCAAATAATTTTATAAAATGAAATAAAAACATCTCACTGAAGTTTCATATGCAATACTGCAACAAGAAAAAAACCAAAACAAAACCAAAAAGAGGAAAAAAAAAGAACTAGCTAAGATGTCATAGGGCTAAAAAAAGAGCACTATGCATATAAAAAATTGTAGAAAAACAATCACATGTATCTGATGGATGAAAGTGGCTAACATCCTTCTTCATTACAACTATATAAAAGATTGCAAAAACATATAGAGGGAAGAGATGAGTTAGTATTGATTTTCATGCAGATCTTTTTTAAACCTTTTGATATACCTGATAAAGTTAGACGAATAGAATATTGAAAGTCAGTTTTTGGAGGTTCTCCATAAGGCATCTCGTCTCTCCCTTCGTTATTTTCAACCTAAAGGATGTTCAACAAACTATTTACTAAAGAAGCAAGAACAGCATAGCAAAAACTTTGCAGACCAAACAGCATTGCATACTTTCGGTAAATCTGAAATAGCATCTCCGAGTAACAAGGCCTTCAGTAGCTCTACTTTCTGATTTTCATTATAAGCAACAACGTTTTCCTAAACAAATAGAAACTCCTTTGAGCACCTAGTGCAAAAAAGTTGAAATGTCATATGACATATTTTACCTCAAATTTTACTGGAGCTCCACCTCGTACAAGCACATCATGTGTAGGTAAAGGAAATTGTGGAATAACCTAGATATGATAATGAAGTTTAATACAAGTAAATTTATAATTTCTCAGAATAAAATTGAACGAGTACAAAAAATACCTCAGCGGGTCGAGCACCCCACAGAAATACTCTCATCCGAAATTGTGGAAGACCATAACAACCAGCAGCCATTATGCCCAATCTAGCTTGATAATTCATTTGCACCAGTTTGCTTAAAGCAAACCTTCCAAGAAATCCTTCAGCAAACTTCAGAATATCCACAACATTCTCCATCAAAACATACTTTGGTTTCAGGAAATCCACAATCTCCATATATACCGCCATTTGTTGATTTCTAACATCGGCTAGAGGATTATTAGAATCTCTAAATCTGTTAAATCCACTAATACCTTGGCAAGGAGGACCGCCACAAATAATATCAACAACTCCCTGTAAAGCAAAAAAGAAAAAATAAAATTATTTTTAAGGAGATAAAAAATATGGCTTCAAGCGGAAAAAAAACGTGAAAAGGAAATAAAACATCAAGAAAAACTCACAGGCAAAGGAAGTATGTTGTTTTGATATCCTTTTCGGACAAATCGTTCAATCCTCTCAGAACATTTCCTATATGATTGAAGAATAATTAAAAACAAATAAAGATCTTTGATAAAAATAAATGCTGTACCTTAGGCCGCTAATTGGCTCCCATGTATCTTCATTTGGACCATAACCTTTCCACCGTACCTATAAGAAAAGGTGTATTACATTATTTAGAAATTAAAATGGCGGTATTTGATGTAATATGAAAGTTTGGGTGGTACAAATATAAAAAGTAAAGTTTGTGTTTGATATAAAGATACATAGGAATTGGGTGTGGCGCATGTAAATGCCCAGAAAATAAATTGCAAAAATAATTAACAAAAAATATTGGAATCAATTTAGCTATATTATAATGCCTAATACATGCTACAAATAATGACATGTTATAAACACCATTCCAAGAATCATATACATTACCTTAAACATCAATTCCTTTTTTCCAATATTATTGGGATCTCCATAGCAAATATCAACAAAATGATCAACTTCAAACTCTCCTTTGGGCAAAGGAGATGAATCATCACTGTTGCTTTCATCATCAAGATCATCTATTTCTTTATTTAGCTTTGGTGGATCATTGACATCCAACGAAAACTTTTCACATAGCTTCTTCCATTCTCTAACAAGAGTAAGAAAATCCTCCGCCTTTTCATTTCGAACCTACAAGTTCAATAGATAAATTATAGGACTAAATCAGAAAGGATTTTATTAATTAAAATTGATTCTTTTTCTAAGATTTTACAAAACTAATAAAAGCCAAGGTAGTACAAGAGCCAATTCTTCATTGACGAATTTTTTATTAACGCAATCATCTTATAGAAGAAATTAGCAATTCAGAATAATTGAACCATCTTCCATGGTATCAAAAGTCATGCTTCTCCAAAACCTTCAATGCACAGAGGGGGGGGAAACTAACTTAATCAATCATCCAAACTCTAATTTTAGCAAGAATATCATTGGCATAATGTACTTCAGCCAGAGTAGCCTCACAATACTAAGAATACATATACCTAACTAAAAATCACTTACATTAACACTGAAAAGCAAAAATTTCAAATTTCTAAGGGTATTTGAATGATCAAATGTTCTCCAAATTTTGTATGCTTATAGATAAACATCTGGAGGTGAAAATATACACTCCATGTTTCATTGAAAATCAAAATTTGCAATATGCTTTTCAATGTTTAGTAACAGTCAAGATAATAGATATTTTATTTCAAGATATTAAAGTTGTCCTGTTATTGCAAGTGCATTACTTGTATGTAATTTTATATTGATATAATTATACCTTAAACACATTAACGTAAGTTAATTACATGCTAGTACATGATAAATCCTCCCCTTTATTGGTTGTGGCATTACCTATTGCCTTTTCATTTTTACATCAATTAACAACAAGTACCTGTGGATTTAAGTCATGAAACTTACTCGTTTGCAAGTTTTTCTTATAAGAAATGATACTAGAGTAATTGGTGGAGCACCACCATATGAACCAACATTTCAACCCCAAAGTTTGTTCGATGTATTTTGAGCTATATATTAATTCTACTTATCCTTGTATTTGGTTTAGATAAATTTATAAATTTTGTTATTTCAATTCCTTTTTATTTCTTGTTGTTTCTTAAAATTTGATGTAATCTTAATAAAGACTATATTGATGAAGAAATTATTATTTACCTTCCATTGTTTAATTTATTCAAGCTATTATAATTACTTGTATATATAAACATTCACTCAAGAATACAAAACAAATTTTAAGAAATAATCGAACTTGAAACTTATTTAAAGAGTTGAAATCAACATTCATTATGTCATGTGTTGAAGAGTGTACTACTAGGGCTATCAAAAAGTCTGTCATTCGCAAACAGCTCATGTTCAACTCACTAAGAAGCTTGTGTTTGATTCATTCATTAAACAAATGAGTCAAATAAGAACAACCTTTTTGAGCTTGATATATAAACAAGTCAGACACAAACTAGATTTCGTTTGATAGAGTTCAACTAATTTTGGCTTGAATTAAGTAAATAAAAAATAAATAATATTTAAAAATAAAACAATTTATCTTTAATATGATATCAAAGATTTAATTTGTATAATTATAAAAATAAAATTTAGGTGTTAGATACATAAATACATAAGAATTGCATGATATGTTTGCAATGCCCCTCATTTAGGTGTTGGATGTGAAAATATATAATAATTGGGGCATGTATGTGACGCATCAAGGGAGTCAAAGAGAGGGAGAGGAAACGAGAAGTTAGGAAACAAAAGAGTACTTTTTCTATAAACTAACATGAGACTAAGACAAGATGGAGAGAAATCACAACAGAAGTAGACCTTAACAACTTAAGGAGAGGATCAATTAACACGTACAAAGACAGTAGGATTGACGAGAGCAAGCTAAAACTTCTCCATAGTAGAAGGTGGCGACTTCAACTGACAACGATGTGTGTGATCGTTGAATAGGGAGAGACGTGATGCTAAGGCTCAACAGGGATGACAACTTCTGATTGAAACTGATAGAAAAAGTGATAAAGTCATATATTTTTGAGGTGAGTACTCATATTCTATGTTATGTCAATATTTTGCTTCTTTTCTCCACTAAATGCACTTACTAGTATTGTTATATTTATAATATTGCATACCCATGATTTATAATTCTATTGAATTTTGTATATGTTGTTGGAGTGACATGTATATTAAATATTGTTCAAATTATCATAGATATTGATTTATGTATAAATATATTGATTGTTATACAGATGAAAGAAATGACCATTAATAGATCATATTTGTTATAGAATATTTTCATGTGCATATCTGATTATGATAGAGTTTACCCCTTTATAATAATATTGGGGGGAATACAAAATACATGTGCAGGTAAATATAAAAGGGTATTAATGTTGAAGTATCTTAATTGATATAACTTTTAAATGATGTTCTTGTGATTGTTTACAGACGTAGAATGATATAAAAATATTATTGATATAGTTAAACCCACTGAATATATATCATAAGTGATCATCTTCATGAACTATTAAATGTTTTATACTAATTTATTAAAAGTATAATTGGCATGCATATTATTTTTAACTTGAATTATTATAGTTTAGAAATGAGTATTTATTGATTTTGATTAGCTCACTATTGTTTTAAACTAAATTTTAAGATATAACTAATTAATTAAAAAATGAGTAATAGAAAAGAAAATATTTATAAAAGATACGAACAATCGATAATGAAGTAAACTTAAATACATTGCTTTAATTTATTTTCTTTAATTACTCTTTCATTTGTTAAATGTTAATTATATAAAATCTTAATTTCTATAGTCCAACAGTTTGTTCTCGCATTGGTTAATTCCAAGTTTCGGGTCGGGTTGTGAAAACATATGTAAATGTCTCTCATATTTTTCAACCATGCCTACCTCGCCACATTTTTTCAGCATTTAGATGTAAGGTATGAAAATACATATAAATTGGGTAGTTTGTATGTAAATGCCATAGAAATCATTCCTCTATCGCCTGCCCCGCTTAGTCTATAGTTAGCCCCACTTCAAGAGAAACCGAAAGAGTACAATATTTATGTTGGATAAATACCAAAACAAAGCATAGAAGTTCAAAACTTTTCGGGCTTTGTAGTTAAAGATTTATTATATATAAAATGTTTTAAAATAAAAAAAAAATTAAAACTCAATATTATTATTTTCATTTATTAAACTTAAATAAATCATGAATCAAGCCAAATGCAACTTATCTTAAATAATTAAATTATGAATCGAGTTGAATATGAATGCATTATTCGCGAGACATTTTGAAAGAGTTGAACACAAAAACAAAACAAAATTAATGAGTAGAGCACGACAAGCCATGGGCTCGCTCAAGCTCAGCCTGTTTACACCCCTATGTACTACTTTTTTGAACTCTAGGTGTGACATCATGTGAGTTTATAAACCTTTGAAGAAACTCCTAAAAACATAATGAGATTATTATGGCAAAGAACTCACCCTCAACATCATCTTCAATTTTCTAATTACTTTGTCGGTAATTGCTTCAAACCCTCTACAAGTTAGATTATCTAAAAGTTTATTGTTGTTCCATTTCTTTACCAATTATAAGCTCAATGGTCAATTAATATTGCTAGAGCAAACATCATATCTACAAGATTTCTTATTATCAAGCTATTAAATCAATAGTAGATGCACCTTATTTAAGCTTATTATAATAATCAATTGTATTATCAATTTCATTCATTGATGTTGCCCCACTGTCCTGTAAGCTAGCATATAATTCGCATTTGCTTGCTATCAAGACACCATTAGTTTTTCAAAAAATAAAAAAATAAAAAAAGACTATTTCAGGAACAAGAAGCATATTACTTGATATTTTGATCCTTTAATGGCATAAAATAGAATGAGGCATTTAAAAGATTCAGAAGTCCATTCATTCCACCTATTCTCAAGAGAGTATAATCTCTACTATTTAAACAGTTTATTGTGAAATTCTTTCTCGCCAACAAATGGCATATAATGGTGCGAGTAAAAACTCTTATAAAATAGTAAAATTTCACTTTATTCAACATTTGACATAATCAACTGTTAAGAAACTATGGCTGATGCAGACAAGGGATGTGACAAATAATTTGTCATAACTAGTAAAGCACACTGTTGATTCAGATTTTAGATATCTTTGGACAATCAATACAAAAGTTGAGACTTTAACGGAGAATGGACAAGAATAACAGACACTTTATGTAATGCAAGTTATATCAAAAGAACATTATTATGAAAAAAACTGCTAAAATATGGTCTCTATAAATTTCATCGAATATAAAAAAGTTGCACCATTAAAAATAGAAAACAATAACTTAAAGAAATAAAAAATTAACACTCAATGCATACCTTGGTTTTAGGATGGTTCAAACTTAAACTTTGGCATGCAAAGGAGTTCAAATCTACCGCCCATGTCTATATTAGGCAAATTTTAAGAAAAAACAAAAGTTTAATATAAATTCAAAGAAACTAACATAGAAATTTTTTTTTTCTTCTTTTTTTTTCTAACCAATCTAAGTCAATGATTCTGGCTTACAGTGAGAAGATTAACCCCAGCGAGGTTGGCACCTTGGCATAGGCCAGTGGACATTGCGCCGCAACCAGAGTACAAATCAAGCAATGTGGCATTCATTTTTGGAGCTTCATGTTCACAATTTCCATCACTCAATGAAGTTGACAAGGAGCTAACATCACTTTTATCATCTAATGAATACAAAGGGACAAACTGATCAAAATTATAACATTAAAAAAAAAGCAAATTCAACATTTAAAATATATATAAAAGAAAAGTCCATGAGTTACCCTTAGGTAAATTGGCAAAAGTGGAATAGGCAGTTGAATAAGACATATCATAGTAATAATCACACTCCGGAATTTCCTTTGCTTTAGTAGTCAAAGAAATCTAGCAATAAAATTATCTCAAAAAATAAAGTTAAATAAAAAGTAAAAACATATCTAAATATAAAGACATGTAAATATTATTTTCATTAAGTTATTAATTTATTACATTGGATGCAATCCGAACAATAGTAATCTTTGCAACAATGCAATCTAAATCATTATCATTTTGATCTTCAGATAAAAAGACTCTTCGTTCATCATGATCTTTGGAATGATAACTTATTACCTGCATAAAACAAATCCAAACAAAAAAATTAACTATTATTGCTAGCCAACTCACAAAATAGCATAGATTTTGCATGCAATCGACAACTTACTGTATCTACAGCTCTATAAAACCATTGAGCTCTAAAATAAAGTTTCCCATCGAGAGTTTCAAAAAATTCAATTATTCGTCCAATAAAGTTTGGTTCGCCATCTCCAGCCTAGAAAGACAATAAATTTGAAAATGTTATGAACACATTATTACCATGTATGCGTGTTCATTCCACATTGAATATACAGATAATAATCTTGAATAATAGCATAAAGTCTCGTTACCCAATTGTCAACATGAATATAAACCTAATTATTGAACAATTTAAAAAAGGAAATGTATAAAACCTAGTTTTTTTAGTAAAAGAAAACTCTCCAAGCAAAATTTGGTTTCTAATGTGTATGATAAGGGCACCAAGTTATATTATATACTCGGAATAATTATAGTCTGAAATAGAAAAAGGAAAAGAGAACAAAAGTAAATTCAATGAGTAACTTGATTCTTAACGTTAATTATATCATTGGTTTATCAAAAAATATGAATTCATTTGTGTTTAAAAATAGAACTACTTCTTTAAATAACTAATATCCTCAATATAGTTGATTAGAGACTTATTACAACTAAATATCAATGATAAAATTAACAAATAAAATAAATTTTAAAACTCAAATCGTGTTAATACTCACCCAAACACATATATATAAAAATATAAGTATTAGTATTAATAATTCTTTTAAAGCCATAGATACACAAATATATCATAAGAACAAGTGAATGATCGTACAATAAATAAATAGGTTATAAAATCATTTTTGGTTTCAAGACAAATTGCAAAAATAAAAGAATAAATAAAAAAATACAGCAGAAGATTATTTTTTTCTATGGAATTACTTTATTTGTTGACATTTTTAAAAATTTGTGAGATTATATTAGAATAGCATGTTAGTAAGCGATTGATACAAACAATTGAAACTACAAATAAAGACAGTCAGAGCTATATTAAATACTACACGCTGCAAAAACAATATTGAAGTGTTGTCTACATGTCTATTTATTTTAAAAAGCAAACAAACCAGATAACTATTAATTGCTTGCAGCATAAAATGCCGAAGTAAAAATCAGCAAACCAAATAATACATAATGAACTTATAACAGGGATGATTTTCATATAAAGGTCTACAAAATAACACAAAAAATAAAAAAAAAGGAAAAATTAAAAAAAACATTGAATTTTACATTGATGTGTATGTGATCATTGAGGCTGTAACATAAATATCAAAGAAAAACCAAATAAAACGCAATGAACTTCTAACAGGGAGTATTTCATACAAAAATCTCGAAGAAGACTATATAATAATGGAAAATAAAAAGCCGTTGAGTTTTACCTTTACGTGCACATGGTCATTAAGGCTGTAGGTAATCACATCAACCATCGCCTGGGAATAATGGCATCTTGCTTTGATGGGCTCATCGTCTTCACCACTGTCATGACAGACAATTTTAATGTTTGAGGTTAAGGATGATCAAGGTTCAAAAAAAAAAACGAGCTTTGCTGCCATAGCAATTAACAAATAGAGGACTGATACAATATAGAATAACGAATCGACATTGTAATGCTAGGAAGCTTACTTTTTGGAGATCGACGAAGATATAGACCTCCGCCCACCATTCTGCACTAAGAAAGAATAATTATTAGAATAGATGCAACGCCCCTTGATGAATTTTCATTTCAACATTTTAAAATCACGTATTTAGATTAAAAAAAAATCAATTGTTTGAATTTTCTATCTGCCCAATTCTTTACCCTCTTTGGGGCTGTTTGGCAGCAAGTAGAATTTGCTTTCTTTAGCTCATGAAATTCATTCATTCATTAACGCGAGTGGCATCACACAAATACAGATTGTTTCATATTTTTAATGAGATAAGTAAATCCATTTAACGGTTTTTTCTCTGCATTATAGGTGTCATATCAGTGCTAACCTTTTTCGTGTATCTTTCTGGCCACCTGCTTTGAGCTTTATCAAGAGGAATTGGATCTCCAATAAAGCAACAAACTGATTCCTCATCGTCATCAATCACCAAAGGTTTCTTAGGAGAAGCTCCTTTCTTCTGCTTAGAAGAACTCTCCACTGGTTCTGCACGCGCCTCTAGATTTTCCTCTTCTTTTATCCCATCCTGTTTCAAATCTTTGTTTTCTACCTTTAACGGTTGCTTGACAGAAGCTCGTTTCTTCTTATTAGAAGAGCTCGACACTGGCTGTTTACACGCTACTACATCTTTCTCTTGCTTTATCTCTTCTTGCCCCGGATCCTCGAGCTCAATTTTCATGTTGTGCTTAGCAGATGCCCCTTTCTTCTTCTTTGAAGAGCTCTGCACTGGTTCACACACCTCTTGATCATTATCCTCATTCATTCCGTCGTGTTCCGCAGCTTTACGAGTCACCTTTACAGGTTTCCTAGCAGAGGCCTCTTTCGTTTTCTTCTTCGAGGAATTAGAAGCTGCTTTTTCACACGCCTCCAGATCTTTCTCCTCTTTCACTTCTTCCACATCAATTTTTGATCTGCTTGGAGCGGACCCCTTCATCTTCTTCCGTGATGGGCTACTAGTCTCCAGAGCCTCGTCATTGAAACCATTTTCCTTCTCCGGCGTCGGCGACCTCCTCTTCCTCCGGGAGGTTGGCAGTGCTGAGGAGGACGACGAGGATTCGACCGCCGGCTGCTCATCAACAACATTTTTCTGCTGACGAGTGCACCGCTGCGGCGTGCCCTTAGCCATGGAAGCTGAGGGGACCTTGCGATGTTAATCAGAGAAGCTGGGGAGACTGGCAGGTGCTAGGGTTTTGCAGCTAAACCTGTTGATGAGTTCTTTCTTTTTATGCGACGGACTGATAGAAATAAAAATAATTTAAAAAAATTCAATTTGAAATTTCGGAATGTGTTAAGGGGGCGGGAAACTTTGTTTTTGGGGACTTGAGTCGATTTTAATTCGCGCCAGAGGAAAATTTGCCGAATAAGACCTTTTTTTTTTCTATTATTGCCTATGGAGATTTAGGGTCTGTTTGGGGCAGCTTATAAGTGCGGGCGGCGTTTTCAAAATGTCGCCGTACTGTTTGGTTCGCGCGTTTCGTCAGCTTATCCAAAATTGTGTTTGGGTTTTTACACTAAACGCAGGACACGGGTTGACCCCTGCAGCCGGCCTGCGGGCCGCGTTTCAGAATAAGCAGCTTATCTTAACCCTATATTATTTACTATTTATTTCTATCGAGTTCAAATACTATTTTTTAATATTCATTACATGAAATATTTTCATGGTTTAAAGGGATTATTACGTCCTTTTGAAGTCATTAATGAAGTTGCATAAACTTGGCATTAAAGATATCATAATGAATTAAACTAAGGAGATTATTTTTGTGGGAATATTATCATTGATGAGTGAATAAGATATTTCATCATCTAGCACGAATTTTGATATATTTTTTAAATAAAAATATATTTGTTTGAATTACAAATTATTTGGAGCTCTAGTTTTCGAAACATTAGAATCAAATTAATCGTCTCAACAATGACAACCCAACCATACAGAAATTGGTCTAATATGTCTTCAAATAAGACTGGTCAATGAACACTATATAGAATGAACTTTAATTTTGACGTACATATGTTCAAATTGAGCGTCAAATAAGCTCAGCATCATTTAATTCATATGTTATTAAGACTCTCCAATCATAAAAGAATCGCTTTTGATAAAAAAGAATCAACATGTCTCATGTAATAGAGTAATTATGGAAGTTATTGGTTGAATGAAGAATGAAATTTGCATTCTCCCCTCCTTTGTGGGCATATTTATAGGTAAAATAAATAAAAAAATTTAAATTTCCAGTGGTTTGAGGCTTTGCAGGCTCGCACGTGCACCCAAATGCTATTTTACGCGCAAGCAATATCACTTGCAACGAAGCACATCCAACACTTTGAGCGGGGCGGTCCAAGGTCGACCCGATTCCCTTCAATCTAGCACGTTATCATTTCTCGGCCAGAATCGGCCCTACAGCCTAATGGATAATTGCTCAGCCCGACTTGGCCCTACAGCCTAATGGATGGAAAACACAATGGATGAAATCATGCTACCAGGATTTGACCTCCCTCCAAAATCTCCTCATTTACTTGGTCATCTCACTCACCCTCACATAAAACAAGTAAATTTTACTTGTATTTGCACTCTTCTCCACCTCTTACTGGATGCGCTCTTGAATTTCATGGAGTTCCCCAAAAGTTCACACACCTTTCCAAAAGAAGAATAATTAATTGAAGCCATCAGATTGCTCAAACATTCCAAAAACTCACCAGGGCTAACTATGTGGCGCCAAGGCGTTGGATGTAGGCACGACAGCGCTAGGTGTAGCTGTTGGGCTTTGTGGATTCAAATCGTTGGAATATAGCATCAAACACCGTGATGTTGGGGATGGTGATGTTGTGATGCTAGAGTCAGGCGCAGTAGCGCTTGTAAGTTGGCACCGAACTATTTGTTTGAAAGGTTCCTTTATCATGCACCAAGTGTCGTCCCGGGGCACTGTGGCGCTTGAATAATCCTTTGCCTCTTTGATGCTCCCAAAATCCCAAATCTAAACTTGTATACTGCAAATAACACTATATATACCCAAAAATAAACACGAAAATGATACATGGAAAGGGCAC